CCCCATCTAACCTCTCTCTCATTCACTTTCATCTCAAATCATTGAAAATATTTTCTTCCGTTTCTATTTTCTGGATGATACTTTGCGGTGCACTTAATTTCATTTCAACCTTGAAAGCTATTTTTTAAATTAATTTTTTCGTTCAGCAAGAAGCATATTTGAATCCATTTGAACCTAATTGAATTTTAATTTTAGAAAATGGAGATCGAATTGGGAATTTGGACTCTTTCGAGAAAATGCGTTGAATAAGAAAGTGACACGTGTCAGCTACGGTACTGCCCCTTCTGCTCCTGATTTTCGTTACAGGAGAAATCCAAGGTATAGAGAACAAATTTTAACCCCAAAACGAATTGAAGCCACCAGATTTTTCGTTTTTGTTTCTTTTCTTTTTCCTGTTTAGGGTTCCATCTTTTTAAAAATCCGAAAGGGAAAATGGCGGCAATCAGGACCACCACAAACATGATTCTCAAAGAAATCTTCCATCACCCGCAACTCCTCTCCTCCTCCGCCTCCTCATCAGTATCGGTCCATAACTTGCTACCTTGTTTATCTCGGAACTTCGGATTCGTGCGCCACCATCCGATCAGCTTCAGCTCAATTCGGTGCGCCGCCGCTTCCGATTCTGGCGGCGATAAGAAGGTGTCATCTCGTCTCTCTCAAGTCCAGCAGCTCTTGCAGGAAGCTGAAGAGCGTGCAAGCTTGGCTGGGGATGAGCCTACTCCTAAGATCACCCTAGGTACTGCAAGTTCCTTCGCTTGCTATAAGGTTTACCGAGAGAATGTACCGAACGAGAATAGGGAAACAAGTGATTTCAATTATTTATCTTCTTTACTTGCGTTATTCTGGTGCCTGTACGTAGTTTTTTTATAAAAAAAAAAAAAAAAATTAAATTAAATTAAATGCAGCTGCCTAGTGCATGACAAAGTGTTCCTAGTGCAACATCTTATTAACACTTTCTTGGACGGTTACTGTTTGATTAGTGGGAAATGTCAGGGGAGTAAGGAAATCAAGAGCGTAGCTTGCCTTCTGGATAACTAATCACCAAGAGAAATATGGATTTTCTTAAAAGAAGAAATAAAAGGCATTTGCCAGTCTACTAGATAATAGTGCTAAACTTTTGTCAATACCATATCTTTGTTTCTGGTATGGCACCGGAACAGTGATTAACCCTTCTTGAGCTATTGGTGATATGGAGGCAAACCAGTGGACAACTTAGATCTTTGTTCCTGTTGTTTTGCTGTAAAGAAATTGGTTAATTGAGGTCCTATGATTTGAGTTTATCAGGTTCGGCTGCAAGTCAGAAACTTATCACTGAGTTTTAACTCCGAAGTCTCTATTGAATGAACATAAACAGCATAAAAAGCCATATGCTATTGAAATTTGAGGAGTAAAAGAAAAGTTCATATTTCATTCTCTTACAAAGTCCTTAGGTTACACCATATTAATAACTTAATCCATCTTCCTACATGTGTAGGTTACGAGCTTGGGTTTTTAAGAAAAATTATGAAATAAAATAATTTCAATTCTTGCCATTTGATTTAATTTCAATCAATTACTATTTTCTGTTCTTTTTCTTAGTTACTAGCATATCCTTAACATAAAGAATGAGGTTATGAGTTCTATGTTTGAATCAGTTCTCTAGTTTTAGTCTTAATTAATTAGAGATCTGTCTAAAAGGCATTCAAGCTAGGAGATTTAAAAATCCATCTTCAAAGTTCAAGTTGGTAGTGGGAACAAGAATTCATCTCCAAGAAATTCAATCTAGGAATGAAGTAATATAAGCATGAATTATGATCTGAGTCTGCGCATGTCAAGGCTATGCTATTAATTAACCGGAATAGTAGGACGTGAATTGAATGAGAATTGAACCAAACAAATTTATTAAAGAGAAAAGGATGAGACAAGAGGGTAAAGGACATGTTACCCGGACCTGTTTATCAGTTTAATTTGGGGTGGGTGAGCATATCATAGTTCCCAAGATAGCTCAACCTCCTGATTGTACCAAATTTTTTGAATTGGTTTTTTGTACTAGTTTTTTCGGGTTCATTTGATTCTAAATCCAAATCTCTAAAATTAGGGACCAAAATCAGGAAGAGTAGTTATAGGGTTAAGTTGGTAGAGTAGGATTCGAAAGATAGTGAGAAGAAAAATGCAGGAAATAAGGAGCAAAAAATTTACATTTTAACAAGCTTGTTTCAAAATTGAGATTAGTTATAGGTAAAATGAAAGGGCTAGGTGTCCAAGTGAAGAGCATGGGTCCACAACAAAATTTTCTTTCTTGGAACTTAAAAGACATTGATTATCTCCTCTAAACACCTGTTATTACATTCACTCAGTTCTTTAGGAATTTGTAATAAGAGTCTTGATATTCTTATTTTAGCTGTAAAAATGATTTGAATCCTAAATCTCTTCTCATAGAAAAAGAACAAGAACCAATAAAACAAAATGGATCCCTGAACAACTTATTATCCAAGCTATGAACCTGATGGTGGATTTATTCAGACTTTAAATCAAAGTACGTATCAATTAAGCCCACCACCTTTGGACCTAAATTTAGCATCTACTATATTTCGTACCTGTACCTCCTACCACATTCCTAATGTACTGCATTTTCTGTATCTATGGAGCATCCTAAGGAAGTTGGGGTAGACCTCTTCTTCTTATCTGTACAGTGAAATATTTTCCTGGGTATAGTTTTGTATATCTCTGGAATGTAATGCATGCATCTTCAATGATATATAGAATGTTATCGTGGAAAAGACATTAAAATTTTAAATTATCCTATGGATTTGGTTACATCCAGATCATGTTACTTTGAACTTTGCAAGAAGTGGTGGGCCTGGAGGTCAAAACGTCAACAAAGGTATGCTCTCATCTTCGTTTTTTATTGGTGACGCTCTTTCATACACCCATTTCTTATACCCTCGTCCCTGACTCCTATAACTTATTATGGATTATATCTCTAATTGATTTACAGTAAACACTAAAGTGGATATGCGCTTCAATGTCAAAAATGCATTTTGGCTAAGTGACAGGATCAGAGAGAGGATTATGCAAATGGTTTGTTATTATCTTTTCCCGTTCATATATTAAAAAGGAATTTGTTGCAATTTAGATTGTTATTTCAGAAGACAGATCAGGTTTTTAGTGTCACAATCTAAATACAATCAACTGGATTTACTGCAAAATATTTAGGAATCCCAAGATTAACAAAGGATTTGGCTTCTTTATATAATGATAAACATGTGTGTTTGATAACTCTCAGAAAACTAGAGATTGTTGCACAGAATGTGAATAAGGTTACAATGAAATGCAAGTCATATTGGATGAAAGTTACTCTGAACTGATATTAATGGATGTACCACAGGATAGTTGTAAGCTTGACATCTTATCCTCTCTTCCTACATGTTATTAGAATTTGGTTGGAAGTTTTGATGCTACTTTGTAGAATTGGTTGTAAGCACGTAAGAATCTGAACAAGAGAGTCTTGCAATGTTAGATTAAAGAATAATATCTGCTCTATATATTGTGAGATCTCATATATAAAATCTTAAAGCAGTTGATGTCTGTTTATTAACAGGAAAAGAATCGAATCAACAAGGATGGTGAGCTTGTGATTTCTTCAACAAAAACTAGGACACAGAAGTTAGTTTCTACCTCTTTTATCCTTGGCGATTTGTTTGTATGTTTGCAATGCAATTAATTAGATTATAACGTTCTTCCTTAGGGGCAACATCGAAGATGCTCTTGGAAAATTACAGGTATTGGCAGTAGACTGATTGAATCTGAAACCATTCACAACCCTTTGGTCTAATTTATCCATCAGATAGTGAAGTAATTAAAACTTTCAAGCTCTTCGATTATGTAACATGATTTAACATTTCCTTTTCAAGGCGACTATAAACTGAGATCATAAATATATTTTCTTCATTCTAAATAAACTGAACAGGCAATTATTGATGCTGCTGCGTATGTCCCACCTCCTCCTTCGGAAGAGCAGAAAAAGAAAATTGCCAAAATGTAAGAACTTTTTAGTGTCTGCATTTGTCGACAGAAAACAAAAATTCCATCATCTCTTGATGCCTAGTGCTCTTCATTTGGTTTTTTATTCTTGCAGTTTAGCTGAAGTTTATTATTTTTGTTGTTGATACTTCTTGTACTTAAGTCTTCAAGGATTGTAAAAGTATGTGGATTGACGGTTAGAGTTGTTTCCATGTCGAAGGGCTGCTATCGGAGAGCAAAAGCGCCTTAAAAGCAAAAAGGCTTTGTCAGATAAAAAGGCATTTAGGAGAAGTCGGGACAGTTGGGACTAGTTTACTACTATATCCTAAGGTTCATATTTTTGGAGATAATCACTCAAGTAATTGTACTGAAACTTATTATTTACTCATGTTCTGCTGATTTTCTCCCTTTTTTGTAGGAAGTAACGAAAGCAAATGGTTCAGATATTATGAACACAAAGTCACCTGTACTGATGGTCCTAAAAACCTGGAGGGGGAGTAGAAATGGCAGGAACTCAAGGGCACTTTACCTGTCTTCCCCACTGAGATTTAATGAAATATCAGACAGAAGTTGATGTGTAAATTCATTATCAAATGTTGTAACTCATATAAATTATATGCAAGATTAAAGTTTTGATATGTAACTCCCCTTATCAAACTTAGATCCACTTTTAACCTGCTTGCAAATCATTTTTGTTGATATTGTCTTGTGTGTCGCAGTCATATGGCGTGATGAATTAGTCCTCGAAAAGCCAGCACCCAGATTGTGAGGTTATTTTACCTTTTTCACTAACATGTTTTATTGGATGAAGTGATTGAATTGATTAGATGACCAACGGATATTAAGGGTTTCATTCGACTATTGAACCGCAAAAAATGCCTTCTGATTGATTGACCAACCAACCAGGTAAATACATAATTCTAATACATCAATTTTGTCTGTAAATTTATGTACAATTCTGATTCATGTAGAAGAAAAATAAAATAATTTAGTTATCCAAGCTATTAGCCAAAAAAAAAAAAACTTCTACAAGAAATAATTTCCTCCGATACCGTAAAAAGGATTTACTTTCTGATAACATGTTCTTCTCCAGATCGTTGATCAACATGCTTGATCCATCGCCTCTCACCATTTCGTGAGCTCGGATTTGGGCCACCGGTTGCTACATGAGCGATGTCCAGTCCCTTTCCTACAGGAAGATATACAGACCGGACAAGCCGGCGTGATCCAACCATATCATCATCATCATCATCATCAATAATGCTTCTCCATCTGAAACCAGCTCCACTTTTAATAAGATTTGCGTTCTTGCAGACAAGGACTGCACCTCTGTTGCTGAGTTTTGCCAGCCTCAACACCCTGGAGAAGTCCCTTCGTGCGCAATCCACCACCAAGAAATCTATCCCTGTAATCCCCTCCATTACTTGTTCAGCCTCCCCAACAACCACCTCCGGCGAGATTCCAGCAGTCTCTGTCATTGCCTGAATGTATTCAGACCGTGATCGTTCATCAGGAACTATACACACATGTCTCCCTTCTGTGTGACGGCTGGCAACCTCCAGGCCTACGCTGGTTGCTATAACTCCGCCCTGTGACCATGCCTCGACTATGAACTTAGCGTTCCAGCCTGCAGCCATGGCTGAGACTAGCTCTGCGACACCAGATTCTTGGTAAAGCTGACACTGCAGGTATCAAGAAAGTAATAATCTTTTCATTAGAGCTGAAAACGTATGAAAGAAATAGGAAAAGGGCATGTGGGATTGGGAGCTTACCGATTTAACAGTGTCAATATAAGCCTTTGATGCAGTCTCTGGAGACCAAACAAGCTTCATTTTTTTTTTTTTTGTCTCTTGATGTTTTTTCTGTTCGAATTGGTTTTGTAGTTGTGGTGGAGAAGCAAAAAGTGCTGGTACGCAAAGAGCAAAATGGGGTTTTTATTAGAGACAGAGACAAAAAAGTGGGCGCCCTATAAACAATCTTTGTTGAACCGTTGACATTGCAATATCCAACGTGGATCAGTGGATTTGGATTACGAATCAATGGATTGGTGAAGTAGTATTCTGGTTCTTACAGGTAATTGACGTGTACAGAATCTATTCTTCTCTCTCTTTCTTTTTTTTGGTTTCTAATCTCTTAAATGCCGATATATATAGGTTATTATTATATAAAAGTAATAATTTCTCTATTAAAATACCAATATTAACCAAACCGTCCTTAATTCCTTTTATTTCTCGTGCTTAATTGATTAGGCTGGTTGACTTACTGGGTAAGATATTGGGTTAAGATAGGAACATCGACACAGCTACACCTTAAAAAAAAACCCCAATAAAGAAAAACTATTAACAGGCTGGTTCATAAGAATATTGCATTGAATATTCATTCACACATTTTGCCTTTCACTTGGCAAAAGCAAATAAATATAACAAAACTTGAACAACAAGTTGGTATGGTCAAAGTATATAATCCATTTTAGGGTGTGAAAGGGAATGTTTGGTATTTTTAAGTATTTCATCTTTAACTCATTAA